ATTTTAAAATTTCAGTGCAGCCTCTTTGAAACGTGATTTCTGTTCTTGGCCACAGTGACATTATTGTCTTTGTTTTTCTCTTTTATGTTAAAATTTTTATTTTCATATCCACATTGTCTCCCTTCACATTCCATTGAGAAAGCAAGAGAAACAAAATCCATTGGAAGCATACGTGGTCAAGCAAAATAAACACTGGCATTTATCATTTAATGAAAACTATGTCTCAGTCTGTACTCTGAGTTCATTACTTTTTTATCAGAATTCAGGCAACATGTTTCATCTTGTTGTTGGTACTCTTCTGCTCTTGGCAGCTAAATTCCAAAAAGCCAACTACAATAAGTGCCTCCACTCTCTCTCTCCCCTCACTCTCTTCTTAACCCTTCACAATCCAGCTTCCAACCTTAACAATTCCACAAAAATGGCTGTTATTAATATTATTATTTTATATTATGATATAATTATAAATTATTAAGTTATTAATGATACATTGGTTGCCAACTCAAAGGGCTTCTTCTCAATCTTCATTCTCCTTGACCTCTCTGCAACTTCTCACTCCATTAATTACTTTCTCAACCTTGATACTCTCTTCTACCTAGGTTTTCAGGATACCACACTCTACTGGTTCTCACTCTCCCTATCTTACTTGTCCTTCTCTTTCTCCCTTGCTAGATCTTCTTCAAGATCACACCTTCTAAATGTAAGTGTTCTTCATTTGGGCTCTGGTTGCTCAGAGTGGATGAAAATAGCAGCTGTTTCTATTTTGGCCAGAAACCCTGAGGGTCTTCCCTTCCCAGACTGATTTGTTTTTGGCTAGGTAAAAAAGGCCACTAAACCCACACAGATCATCTATATATGACCAACAAAGCCCAGCAGCAAGACACAGAAAAAGAAATTCCATTTAAAATAAGTAAAGACAATATAAAATATTTGGGAGTCTACCTACCAAGAGAAACCCAGAGGCTACATATGAACACAGTTACAAAACAGTTTTTACACCAAGTCAGATCTAAACAATTGGAAAAATATCAATTGCCCATGAGTAGGCTGAGCCAAATAATAAAAAACGACCATTCTGTCCAAACTAATTTATTTATTCAGTGCCATACCGATCAAAGTACCAAAAATTATTTGATAGTGATAGAAAAAATAAGAAAAAAAATCATCTGGAAGAACAAAAGGTCAAGAATATTAAGGGAATGAATGAAAGAAAAAATACAAAAGAAGGTGGCCTGACAACACCAGATCTCAAACTATATTATAAAGCAGTAACTATCAAAACTCTCTGGTACAGGCTAAGAAATAGCATGGAGGATCAGTAGAATAGATCACTAGGCTCTGGGATAAGAACTCACTATTTAACAAAAACTGGAAAATAATATGGCAAAAACTAGTTATAGGACAACAACTTATACTGTATACCAAGATAAGGTCAAAATGGGTACATGATTTAGACATAAAGAGTTGATACTGTAAACAATTTAGAGGAGCAAGGAATAGTCTACCTATCAGACCTATGGAGAAGAGAAGAATTTATGACCAAATGACCCACAGAGAGCATTATAAAATGTAAAATAGATACTTTTCTTTATATTAAATTTAAAATTAAATTTGTCATTGCTTGCTGTCATAAAAAGAGCTGCTATAAATATTTTTGTCCATCTAGGCCCTTTTCCCTTTTTATATTTTCTTTGGCCTACAGACCTAGTAGTGATATTGCCAGATCTCAGGGTATGCACAGTTTTATAGCACTTTGGGCATAGTTCCAAATTGCTCTTCAGAATGGTCAAATCAGTTAACAACTCCACCAACAATGCTGTAGTGTTCCAATTTTCTCACATCTTCTCCAACATTTATCATTTTCCTTTTCCGTCATATTAGACAACCTGATAGGTATGAGATAGTATCTCTGAGTTGTTTTAATTTATATTTCTATAATGATTAGTGAGAGCATTTTTTTTTTTCTTTTTTCTTTTTTTAATTAAATTGTTTATTTTTAGTTTTCAACAATCACTTCCAAAAGCTTCTAAGTTTTAAATTTTCTCCCCTCTCTCTCCACCTCTTTCCCCAAGACGCCATGAAATCTAATTAAGCTCTACATGTACATTCCTATTAAACATATTTTCACATTAATCATGTTGTAAAGAAGAATTAGAACGCATAAGAGAACCAGAGAAAGAAGAAACAAAACAAAACAGAAGAAAAAAAGAGAGAAAATTGTATGCTTCAATATGCATTCAAACTCCATAGTTCTTTGTCTGGATATGGATAGCATTTTTCATCATGAGACTTTTGAAGATGTCTTCGATCTTTGCATTGCTGAGAAGGACTGTCTATCAAAGTTAGTGACTGCACAACATGGCTGTTACTGTGTACATCTTTCTCCCGGTTCTGCTCACTTCACGCAGCATCAGTCCATACAAGATTTTCCTGGTTTTTCTGAAGTTTTGCTCATCATTTCTTATAGCACAATAGTATTCCTTTGCATTCATATACCACAACTTGTTCAGTCATTCCCCAATAGATGGGCATCCCCTCAATTCTACTTCTTTGCCACCACAGGCAGAGCTGCTATAAATATTTTGGTAGATGTGGGTCTTTTTCCCACTGTCATGATCTCTTTGGGATACAACCCTAGAAGTGCTATTGCTGGGTGAAAGGATATGCACATTTTTATAACTCTTTGGGCATAGTTCCAAATTGCTCTCCAAAATGGCTGGATCAAAGGGCAGCTAGGTGGAGCAGTGACAGAGAACCGCCCCTGGATTCAGGAGGACCTGAGTTCAAATCTGGCCTCAGACACATACTACTTACTAGCTCTGTGACCTTAACCATATTGCCTAGCCAAAAAAATAAAAATAAAAATGAAAAACAAAATGGTTAGATCAATTCACAACTCCACCAACAATGTATTAGTGTTCCAATTTTCCCAAATCGTCTCCAACATTTGTCATTTTCCTGTTTTGTCATTTTAGGTAATCTGATATGTGTGATGTGGTAGCTCAGAGTTGTTTTTATTCGTGTTTCTCTAATCAGTAATGATTTAGAACATGTTTTCATATGACTATAGATAGTTTTAATTTCTTCATCTGGAAACTAACTGTTCATATGAATCCTTTGACTATCAATTGGGGAATGACTTGTATTCTTATAAATTTCACTATATATTTCTCTACATATTTTAGAAATGAGGCCCTTATCAGAGACACTGGTTATAAAAATTCTTTCCCAGTTTTCTGCTTCCCTCCTAATGTTGCATTGGCTTTGTTTGTGCAAAAACTTTTCAATTTAACATAATCAAAATTATCCATTTTGCATTTCATAATGTTTTGTGGGTCATAGTGGTCACTATGGAATATGAAAGGCATTCACCTTGTAGTGTAATCCTCTATGAAGATTCATGGGACACAGATAAGAGGCATGTAGGAAGAGAAGCTATAGGTGGGTAATGATATCATCACCATCAGCACCAGTGGAGGGAGTACCAGCACTGATAGGCTAATGGATCCAAAAGTGCTGATGTCTATACAATTACTGTATACTATTATAACTACATAATGCTATTATATATTATAACTACATATTATTCACATCTCCCTCATTTCTTAGAGCACAATAACATTGCATCAAAATTATATACAACCACTTCTTCAGCCATTCAACAATTGATGGACATCCCCTCAATTTATACTGTGAATATTTTTGGTACATATAGATCCTTTACCTTTTTCTTTTGTCTGTCCAGAACATAGACCTAGCAGTGATATTGCTGTGTCAAAGGGTACGTACAGCTTTATAGCGCTTTGGGCACAATTCCAAATTGTTCTCAAGAATGGTCAGACAAGTTCTGAATTGCGCACTAATGTCTCTATTTTTCCACATCCCCACCAGAATCTGTCATTTTCCTTTTCTGTCAGGATGGCCAATCTGAGGTAGTGTGAATTGATACATCAAAGTTGTTTTCATTTGCATTTCTCTAATTAATAGTGATTTACAGCTTTCATTATTATTGTTAGCTTTGATTTCTGCATCGAAAGCTCTGTTTATATTCCTTAATCCTGACAGGAATCTTATTCATTTTTTCACGTGTCATGTGATATATGCCTCAAGCACGGTCAACAGTTACTCAGGACATATTAGGCTCAGGCTCATCTCATGGCCAAGAGGTCATCCCAAGCATCTTGCATGCCATATTTCCAGGGATCAAAATAGATGCAAATGCTCTCCCAATACTAAGTAACCTCTAGCTCAGCCAGCATATCTCCCTCCCTGAAGCCCATGGAAGGATAACACTAAATTTTTGCTCCTTTAGAGGCCTCTGCAGAGGGGAGGGATATCTTCTTACCCAGGGAGCCTAAATACTCTCTGAAACTACATCTAGGGACTTCAGAATCACAATCTAGTTAGATGGGGATGTTCCTACACTCCTTATATTCACGAAGAATCACTCTAGTAGATTATCTGATGGACATAAAGTGGTGTCCATAGTCTATAAACCTTTCCAAACTGAAAAGTTTCTCCAGAATTAATTCTTTGATGCTGAGCAAGTTGTATCTTCAGGCTGAAGGTCTTCCCACATTCACTGCATTCATAAGGTCTCTCTCCAGTATGAATGCTCTGATGTTGAGTAAAAGATACATTCAGCTGGAAAGCCTTCCCTTATACATTATATTCATAAGGTATAAATTTGGCCTTCCCACATTCACTACATACATAAGGTTTTTCTCCAGCATGAATTTTTGATATCTAATAAGATCTGAATTGCAATGTAGGCCTTCCCACACTCCTCACATTCGTGAGGAATCTCACTAGGATGAATTCTCTGATGGAGAACTACTGTCCTCAGTCTAAAGGCCTTTCTACATGCATTACTCTCTTAATATTTCTCTCCTAAAAAAATTGTTTAAAAAAGTATCTCTCCTTAATGCTTTAAGTTATACTCTCACTCTGAAGGTCTTCTGACATTCATTACATCCATAAGGTTTCTCTTCAGTATGAATTTTTTAATGTCGATTAAGATCTGAGTTGTGGGGGAAAGCCTTCCCATATTCCTTACATTCAAAAGAATTGTCTCTAATATGAATTTTCTGATGTTCACTAAGTTTTGTCTTAATCCCGAAGGCCTTCCCACATTCACTACATTTATAAGGTTTCTCTCCAGTATGAATACTTTGGTGTCGAATAAGTGCTGAGTTGCAGGCAAAAGCCTTCCCACACTCCTTACATTCATAAAGCATCTTCCCAGTATGAATTCTCTGGTGCACATAAAGTAGTGTCTTACTCCTGAAGGCCTCCATACATTCACTACATTCATAAGCTTTCTCTACTGTATGAATTTTTTGATGTCGAGTAAAGTCTGAGTTGTACAGGAAACCCCTCCCACACTCCTTACATTCATAAAGAAAATCTCCAGTATGAAGTTTCTGATGCTTAGTATGATGTGACTTCCTCCTGAAGGCCTTTCCACACTCACTACATTCATAAGGCTTCTCTCCACTATGAATTGTCTGATGCACAGTAAGCCCTGACTTAATCCTGAAGGCCTTTCCACATTCACTACATTCATAAGGCTTCTCTTCAGTATGACGTCTCTGATGCTCAGTAAGATGTGACTTCTTCCAGAAGGCCTTTCCACATTCACTGCATTCATAAGCCTTCTCTCCAGTATGAATTCTCTGATGCAGTCTAAGTTGTATCTTAATCCTGAAGGCCTTCCCACATTCATTACATTCATAAGGATTATCTCCAGTATGAATTCTCTGATGTCGAGTAAGATTTCCCTTCCAAGTGAAGGCCTTCCCACATATACTACATTTATAAGGATTCTCTCTAGTATGAATTCTCTGATGCAGGCTAAGTTGTATCTTAATCCTGAAGGCCTTCCCACATTCATTACATTCATAAGGATTATCTCCAGTATGAATTCTCTGATGTCGAGTAAGATTTCCCTTCCACATGAAGGCCTTCCCACATTCACTACATTCATAAGGTTTCTCTCCAGTATGAATTCTGTGATGCACAGTAACTTCTGACTTACCCTGGAAGGACTTCCCACATTCACTACATTCATAAGGTTTCTCTCCACTATGAACTGTCTGATGTACAGTAAGCCCTGACTTATTCCTGAAAGCCTTCCCACACTGACTACATTCGTAAGGTTTCTCTCCAGTATGAACTGTCTGATGCACAATAAGCCCTGACTTACTCCTAAAGGCCTTCCCACACTGACTACATTCATAAGGTTTCTCTCCAGTATGAACTCTCTGATGCACAATAAGCCCTGACTTACTCCTGAAGGCCTTCCCACATATACTACATTTATAAGGTTTCTCCCCAGTATGAATTCTCTGATGCAGTGAAAGTTGTTTCTTAATCCTAAAGGCCTTCCCACATTCACTACATTCATAAGGTTTCTCTCCAGTATGAATTCTCTGATGTTGAGTAAGGTTTTTCTTGCAAGTGAAGGCCTTCCCACATACATTACATTTATAAGGTTTCTCCCCAGTATGAATTCTTTGATGCACTCTAAGTTCTATCTTAATCCTGTAGGCCTTTCCACATACACTACATTTATAAGGTTTCTCTCCAGTATGAATTCTTTGATGCAGTGAAAGTTGTTTTTTAATCCTGAAGGCCTTTCCACATACACTACATTTATAAGGTTTCTCCCCAGTGTGAATTCTCTGATGCATTCTAAGTTCTATCTTAATCCTGTAGGCCTTTCCACATACACTACATTTATAAGGATTATCTCCAGTATGAATCATCAGATGTCGAGTAAGACTTCCCTTCAAAGTGAAGGCCTTCCCACACATACTACATTTATAAGTATTTTCTCTAGTATGAATTCTCTGATGCAGTGAAAGTTGTATCTTAATACTAAAGGCCTTCCCACATACACTACATTCATAAGGTTTCTCTCCAGTATGAACTCTCTGATGCAGTGAAAGTTGTTGCTTAACCCTGAAGGCCTTCCCACATACACTACATTCATAAGGTTTCTCTCCAGTATGAACTGTCTGATGTAGTGAAAGTTGTTGCTTAATCCTGAAGGCTTTCGCACATTTAATACATTCATAAGGTCTCTCTCCAGAATGAACTGTCTGATGTAGTGAAAGTTGTTTCTTAATCCTGAAGGCTTTCCCACATTCAATACATTCATAAGGTTTCTCTCCAGTATGAATTCTCTGATGTTGAATAAGACTTGTCTTGCAAGTAAAGGCCTTTCCACATACATTACATTTATAAGGTTTTTCCCCAGTATGAATTCTCTGATGCAGAGAAAGTTTTGGCTTAATCCTGAAGGCTTCCCACATACACTACATTCATAAGGTCTTCTCCAGAATGAACTCTGATGTAGTGAAAGTTGTTTCTTAATCCTGAAGGCTTCCCACATTCACTACATTCATAAGGTTTCTCTCCAGCATGAATTCTCTGATGCACAGCAAGATGATTCTTGCTCCTGAAGACCTTCCCACATTCATTACATTCAGGAGGTTTATCTCCAGTAAATTCTCTGCTCCCTGAAAGGAAGAATAAAGAGCCAATTAACCCTGCCTTTTTTCCCCCTTTCCCAAAGTTCTTAGTTGCTCAAAGATTTTAGAACTGATGAAGCTGCCTCAGCCCCAATATTCTAACTTCCTTAAAGGCCTCAATGATTTAACCACCTAATCTAGCTTTAACCACACCACAGGCCCCCCAGACTCAATATAGCTAGTGGCCCTAGCTAGCCACTGCCTCTGAATCCAATTCATGTATTTGAACAGGTGTATTCTTATACTCAACCACAATCACATCATCCATTTAGCCCAAGACAGGCCCATGGTACCTTACTATCCATCTTGACCAAACAGCACCACAAAGCTAGCCAAACAGAGGGCAGCACAACTAGGATGTATGACTACCAAACCACAGAAGGGACCCCCCAGCATTACCTAATCCCTTAACAAATCCATCCTGCCTTTTTAATACTCATCATTTCTATTATGTAATTGCATGTTACCCTCTAAAAATCCATCTTGCTTTCTCCTAAGTTCCTGGTTCCTCTTGGAAACCAGCCTAATTCTGAGGGGCATCAATCCTCAATAAATGCCAATACTTGGATTAGAAGTGGTCTGAGTCTGAATTCTTTGATATTTTTATTTCCCTTTTTTAATTAATTAATTTTTTGGTGAGGCAACTGTGATTAAGTGACTTGCCCAGAGTCACACAGCTAGAAAGTATTATGTGTTTGAGGCCAGATTTGAACTCAGGTCCTCCTGAGTTCAAATCCATGTCCAGTGCTCTATCCACTGTGCCATTTAGCTGCCCCTGAATTCTTTGAGATGGTGTTGCCAACAACACACCAAGAAACCGCAACAGAACTATTCTCTTGCCTTCTCACCTGAGATGACAAGTCTCACTAGTCTTTCGCTAAGGATCAGTTTATCTTATGTGAAAGTATGAAGACTCAAAGGTAACATACGTAAATGAAATGACTAAGGATGAAATTACCAGGAAGGATGAATTAACCCTTAATTCTGCTGTACGTGGTTGACATTTGAAAGGAATAAGACTGTTCAGAAAAAAAAAACACATGACTTTGAGAACTTCAAATGTAGTCTTACCATATGAGCTTAAAATAGTAAGGGAAAAAAAGATTGAACAGAAAGGAAATAGAGAACTTAGAGTGAGGAGAAGAAATAAATAGATGAAGTAAAGAGAATAAACAAGAAAGATGAGGGGGGAAATGTGACAATTGCTGCCAGAAATTTCCTCAAAAAATCCAACACATCTACTTTGTAAGGAATTGATTAAAACTTGTAAGAGTAAGACATACAAGTATTTCTGACAAGAGAAATTATTAATATTGACCTGAAACATTACTCAAAATCTGGTAATCAAAGAAGTAAAAATGAAAAAACTGACAGGTGTCCATAAACAGCCATTAGATTACCAAATATTCTTTAAAATGATAACTTATTAAATGACCTACTTATGAAACTGCTGCTGCCATTTTTCTTAAAAGTACCATAGTAATTTTAGAGCTACAAAACTACTCATATCATTTGACCCAATGGTCCTATTACCAGGTCTATACCCTCAAAATATTACTGAAAGCAAAGAACTCTCTCTAAAATGTTCACAATAGCTTTTTGTGAAATTCCAAAATAATGAAAACCTATACGTCCAATGATGGGGTTATGGTTAATCAAGTCATATGAACACATTATTGTGCCTTGATAAATAATATGATTTCAAAGCATAAAGAAAAACAGGATGACACATAACATGACAGACTGAAAAAATGAGAATCAGGTTAGGATTAAATATTTTTAAAAATAACAGCAGCGAAGCAACATAATCACAAAAACAAAATAAAAGAAAATATCAGAAGAGAAATGAGAAGCAAAAAGAGTACATTACTTAATATCTGAAAGTTTTATTTTAATATTAATATTACATAATTAAGTTGATAAGTTGATTGAGGTATTAAATAAAATATTAATGTTTTAAAATTTAAAAGGGAGGATGAATTCATGCAAGTGAGGCAGAGAATACCTGCTTAAAATAAGATAATCTTCAATGAACGAGAGAAATAACTGCCTTGTACAGATGCAACAACTTTCTTTGAGACTGGAGGTACATTTCAGTAAAGAGATACATTAAAAAAAAAAGAGTGAGTTCCTGAGGTAAAAAATAAAGTTTTAAAGTCTCAGCTCCTCTCAACAGATCTAAGAAGCTTTGATAGATCACTCTGTTCAACGTTTTACAAGAGTTTTGACCTAAAATGACCAACAGATCACTATTTTGCAATGACCCAACTGCTTGGTTTTTATATAGTCACCTGGACAGCTGCTTCCTGAAATATCTGCCTCTGGCATCCAAGATGCTTCCCTTCTTTCCAACTGGTAGATCACATCTGGTTTGGAAACTGGAAATCCTGTTTGTTGAAAAGGAAAAAGAGCTAGGGAGTCATCTTGGAGTTCCATCATAGAACAGGTAGACGAAATATTCCTTCCAACTCTTAGTAGAAAGGTGGGGTAATAAGGGTGCTGAATGTACCTTACACCATCAAGGGCACTATGTTAGCTCATTTCGTCTGAGATTTTTCCCCAACCAAGAGAGCCTTAATGGGCTGGTTGGAGGGAAAAGTAGGGTTTTTTCCTTTTCCTTTTTTTTCAGGTGGCAGAGGGAGAAGAAATTACATTTTTTAAAAAATCCATAAAACGTAATAAAAGAATTCAAAGCCAGTCAAAACCCTCAAGTAGGCATGCTAGGAAGACCTCAAGGATAGCACAAAGGACCACTGAAGGATACTCTATATTATGGTAGAATGGATTACTGAGTAGGATTTAGGAAAAAATAGTTCATTTGACTGCTTGGACGGTGGGAATACTGTGCATGAATGAAACATATATTGAGATTAAAAAGAATATCTTGGATTTGAACCAACAGAGAGAGGAAGATACATCCTCAAGGATAACAACAAATCAGGAAATCAATTTCCAAGGATACTAAGCAAAGACTTTTTTCCTGGAAACAAGTAGTACAAGTAATCTGTCAATGGGTTACAAAAGGATAAGTATTATTTTCCTCTTCTATGCCAAAGAATAACTTCTATGCCAAATAAAATCTCGAGTTGGCATAGTATATAGCAAGACTTCAAGACACCAAGGCTTTTCTTACCCAAAGAGACCAGGTTCCTATAGTTCTCCAGCATCACATCCTTATACAACTTTTTCTGAGATGGGTTCAATTGTACCCACTCTTCCTGGGTGAATTCCACAGCCACATCCTTGAATGTCACTGATTCCTGAAATAACAAAAACATTTGTGCTTACCCAGCTATAGCTCTAACTCTTATGAAGTTCAAATAAATGTAAACTGCTTGCCAGCAGTGTGAGGGAACTGAAGGCATTAGGACAGCAAGTGGTACATTGAGGCAACTGAGTCAACCATACTAACTCCATTTTGTGACTCAATTCTGGAGGTAGCTCAGTCCTTTTTCTATTCAATTATAGCTATAGTCTAACTTCTGTCTTTTGAGAAAAATTTATTCAATTGTGGGAATTGAGAGAAAACCTTATTGCATTGTTTGAAACTAGCCCTGTGTGGCTGGGAAACAAGACTTCCTCAACCTGCTGTTTAGAGACTCTTAACAAAGGACCAAGAAACCCATGCTCACCAGGAACCCAGTCAGATACAAAAACACTGATGTAAGGAGTTTTCTCACAATTGAACATCTCAAAGCAACTCGTATGTCTTACCTGAAAACTGACCCCATACCTAACAATTAATTATTGTTCCATGTTCTTTTGATTGTATACAGACACCCAGGGGAGTGGGACACTCATTTCTGAATTCAGGGAACTGAACCTGTTGCCTTTCCCTTACCAACATGGAAAGTCCCTGATCTTTCCTCCAATTAGAAATCAGATTACCTACTATTGTATTATTTCCTTGTAATTAATTGGTCCTGTTTAATTGTTTCTAATGTAGAAAATTACATCTCCCCACATATTCAGGTCCAGACTTAAGTTAAGGAAGGGGCCTGGTCCCAGTTTGTTGTGCAATTACCATGCACTGCTTAATAAACTGATATGCTCAAAAGACAGAACATTTGTTTCCTCAGTCATTTCATCTTTCATTTGCCACAAGGCATTGTTTCATTTATTCATTTGTTCCCAGTACAATGCCTGTTATATAGCAGGCACTTAATTCCTGTCCAGAAAGAATTAATAAATAGAAGTATGTATAGAATGATCTTACATCAGGGGTGTGTGTAGTGTGTGTGTGTGTTGTGTGTGAAATTGTAGCCATCTCTAGGGTTGGGGATGGAAGGGAAAAAAAGAAATTTATATAATTTATTACATATTTAAAAGGAAAGCAAGTTGTACATAATAGATAGATTTTCAATTTCATACGCAATCATCTTTTTTTAACCATACTATATTTTGGAAATGCTTCTTTGTTCATTAAATTAAAAATTAAATGAATAAAATGTTTACAAAAGAATTCCTCTCCTATTAGGCTAAGCTCCTTAAGAAAGGGCATTATATAAGGCCATCTTTTGCATCCCTGCACTTAGCAAAGTGCCTGGCACTTTATAGCATTTAATAAATGCTTATTGTTGTAAGTTGTTACAAAGACATCACTTTTAAATGTGTGTGGGTGGTGTTTTGTTGTTGTTGTTGTTTTCTAACAATGTGCACCATGACTCCTACTCCTGCATGCTGAGCTCAAGCAGTAATATAATTTTCTTTTCTACTTGCTGAAATAAAATAATGAAAATGAAAATAACTTAAGATATACTGTTCCTAAGTCTTCTCTTCCAGGGTAAATAAGCATAGTCCCTTTGACCAATTAGCCTGACCTCTTCACAACTAAGGCAGTTACTTTCCTCTTTTCATCTAATCACTGTGCTTCTTAAGATGTGGCGCTCTGAATGACCATGATTGTGTTCTAGTTCCTGGAACCATGAACCAAAGGCAAGCATGGGGACTACAATCTCTTGTAACAGCATGTGAAAACTTTTAGTGCTGAAAAGGGTGTTAAAGGACCACTACTTTCCAGTTCATATATTTAGAGCTGAAGAGACTTGATAGTCCAATTATCTCATTTTACACATTAGGGAAGTAAGGCCCAAAGGGGGAAAATGGCTTGCTTAATGCCAAAAGGGGAGTAAATGGTAGATGAGTACTTTGAGCTAGGTCCTCCTGGCTTCAAATCCAGGGTTATTCTCATTGTACCATGTTGCCATTCCTTCTCTATCACCAGACCAAGGCCACAACTAGTTTTTACACAAAAATATTTATAAGAGCACTCTTTGGGGCAGCAAAGGACTGGAAACAAACTGAACTCTCAAACAATAGCTAGAAAAAATTAACACATGAATAACACTGGACTCATTATACAGTTAAAAATGACAATATAGAATTCTGAGAAGCAAAGGAAGATATAACTGACACAGTGTAAAATAAGCAGACTCAACCAGATATAATACACAAAATTACAAAAATATAAGTAAAAAATGAAAATAAAAATATGCTAGGCGCTAAGTAACTGGAAAAAATAGTTGAACATATTACTTATCAGACTTATGGATAAGTGAATAATTTATGAATAAGCAAGAGACAGCAAAATTAGGTGCAAAATGGATGAATTTCAATTACATGAAATTAAAAGATTTTGTATTAATAAAAGAAATATAGCCAAGATTAGAAAGAAAGGAGAAAATCATAGGGAAAATTTTATACAAAATTTATCAGTTAAAGGTCTCACATCTAAAATATATAACTTTGTCTAATCTATAAGAATATGAGTCATTCCCCAAATGATAAATGCTCAAAGGAAATGAACAGGCAGTTTTCCAATGAAGAAAACAAAATAATTTTTAGTCACATAAAAAATTCCTCTAAATCATTATTGATTGGAGAAATGCAGAAAAAACAACCTTAAGATAGCATTTTACACCAACCAGATTGGCGAAAATGATAGAAGAAAGTGACAAATGTTGGAGAGAATGTGGAAAAATTGGGACACTAATTCAATGTTAATGGAATTGTAAAATGATCCAACCATTCTGGAGAGCAATATGGAATTATGCCCAAAGAGTTATTAAACTACTTATCCTCTTCGACCCAGCAATACTACTACTTGGTCTATTCCCAAAGATGAATAGGGAAAAGGGAAAAGAACCTATATGTTCTAAAATATTTATACCAGCTCTCTTTGTGGTGGCAAAGAACGGAAACTGCAGGCATGCCCATCAATTAGGGAATGGCTGAAGAAGCTGTAGTACATGATTGTGATGGAATACTACTATACACACTACTACTATAAGAAATGAGCTAAAATATTTTAGAAAAACGTAGAAGGATTTGCAAGAAATAATGAAGAGTAAAAATGAGCAGAACCAAGTGAACACTGTACACAGTACCAGCAATATTTTAGGAACGACTCTGAATGAATAAGTTATTATGACTATTATAAATACCCAAATTAACTACAAAGGATATATGAAGAAAGACATTATCTACATCCAGAGAAAGAACTAATACACGGAAGTACGTGTAGAATAATTTGTATATATAAAACCATATGTGTCTAATGGTAGCTATCTCTAGGCTGAAATGGAGAAGCAAAAAAAGAAATTTACATGATAATTTTATTGTACATCTGAAAAAAATAGCAAGTTGTGCATACCACATTTGGATTTTCATCTTTTTTACGTTCATCTTTTTTACTGTACTTTGTTAAGGAAATGCTTGTTTTATTCCATCAATTATGAATAAAATCTAAAAAAATGTTACCACTTCTGAAACAGAGAAGATGGCGATCACTAGAGGAGAATGTTTAATGAACTGTCACATAAAGTTACTATCATTGGTATTTTTATGCAACTACTTTTTTGGTATAAAGGATATAATTTAGAGGGTGAAGGAAAAAAATCTTTTTTCTAGAAATGACTATAATGAAATAGCACAAAGCCTTACAGAAGAAACAGAAGAAACCCTTTCTCTCTAACCACTCATTTACTCATGTATTGTAGGAATGTGCGAGAATTCAAAGTCACTAGCCCAGGCTTTGCAGAATCTACCCTCTCTTCAGAGACACACAATAGTGGCTAAGCAATGAAGCACATTATACACTCCTATCAGAACAGCTGGATCCTGACTTTTACTTCTGGCATCCACTTCCTGTTCACACTTTCTGGGCTCTCATTCCTACTTCAAAGTTCATCACTGTTCAATGAGAAAACAAAAGCCAAGGAAGATTTTAGTTGTTTAGCTTTCTCACAGGTATCCCTTTGTCATCACCATCACACTATCAACGCTGAAATATGGTCTTCACTATTTTTGATCTTGCCTCCAAGCTAGATTTTAAAAATCTTTTGGTAACTTTTATCACAAGAATAATTTGTTTCAGGCTTTGTTGTCTCCCCACTACTCTTTTCTAAACTGCTCTATTTCTTTTTTTATTCATCCTGAATTAATGGCAATTTAAGATATTTTTATCATCATGATTAGTTATGCTTCAAGTCAATCAGCCATTAAAAATTACAGCTGAATACAATGATCCAAGATAACTCTGAAGGACTCATGATGAACCCTACAGCCTCCCAACTGTGAACCAGGAAGAGATCCTGAAGCCCAGGTGGTAGAGCAGGCAAACACCAACACCTGGACCTCCCAGGGCCTCAGTGGCGGGGTGGGGGTTTGGGGAACCAGAAGAAACCAGCTCAGAAAACCACCAGATGCCTCAGCACTCTACCACAAAGGAATCTCCCAGTGCATTAGCAGAAACGAGGAAGGCAGCACAGCAAGGGGCCCTAGGCAGATAAACACCCTGGACCACCCATCTAAAAGGAGCTGAAGAAAGCTAAAGGAAAGGAAAAGCAGGTAACCCAGAATTGCCTGAAAGTTCCAGCCTTGCTGATTCCAGCCCAACATGAGGTAACCTGCAAGAACCCTACAGCCTCCAACTGCCAACATAAGAGGCCCCAGCACACAGCACACTGGACCCAGCCAGTGACCAAGACCTAGGCTCCCAACACAAGAAGCTTGGGTCAGTACCCTCTGTTCCTCAGCTGGACAGCTCAATCTCTTTAAAGGCCAGGGAACAAAGAAACACCATGAGTAAAAAGAAACATACCATAGATTCATATTATGAGAAGAGTGAAAATCAAGACAGAAATTCTGAAGAGGACAACATCAAAAGGGAATAAGAACTGGTCTGAAGCCCAAAAAGCCTTCTTAGAAGAGCTCAAGAAGGATTTTAAAAGTCAAATGAGAGAAGTAGAAGAGACCTTAA